TCTAGGAATTCTATCAGTTGCTGAGAGAGAATTACTGAAGTCCTCAACTGTAATTGATACATGACCATTTAGAATCATTATGTATTCCATCTTCCTGGTGGATTGGACTTTTTATCATAGCACAATGTCTTTGTCTCTAATAATATTCTTTGTTCTGAAGTCTGTCTTATCAAATATTAATATAGATACTCATGCCTTTTTTATTTTTATGACTGTATGCAAGGCATATTCTTTTCCATCCTTTTACTTTCAACCTATATATATATAGTTGACTGTGCAGTGAGTTTCTTGTTGGCAGTATTTAACTGGGTCATTTTTTGAATCTGCTCTGAAAATCTCTGTCTTTTGATTGTTGTATTTGGACCATTTACATGTAAGGTAATCATTAATATGTTATTACTTAACTGCCGTTTTATTATTTGTTTTCTATTTGTTTCCTCTCATTCTCATTTCTATTTATCTTTTCTTATTCTGTGAGTTACTTGAAAATTTTAGTAGTACTCCATCTTGATTTATCTATATTATTTTTGATTGTATCTCTTTGTAAAGTTTTCAGAGTAGTTGCTATGGGTATTACAATACACATACTTATCACAATCTCCTGGCACCACCATTTAAATACTTCAAATGAAGTACTGATACCTTACTACCATTTGGGTCCCTTGAAGTTCCCCACTTTTAAATATCATTGTCTTGAGTATCAGATGGTTATAATTTTTGTTTCAATCATCAAATATGATTTATAAAACTTAAGAGGAAAATGACAGTGTAAGAATTCATTTTATGTGTCAAACCTTGCCTGGGCCATGGGGTGCCATGGGGTGCCCAGATATTTGGTTATTCTGAATTCTGTCTGGGTGTTTCTGTGTTTTGAATGAATTTTAAATTTAAATCTATAGACTGAGTAAAGCATATTGCTCTCCCTGATGTGGGTGGGCCTCATCTAGTCAGTTGCAGGCATGACTAGAACAAGAGTCCTTCTGTTCTTCCAGAAGCTGAGATTTAAAGGTTTTGAATTCTAAATTTAGTTTAAAGAACTGCCAGTGGTTAGAGGTCAGTCACTTCTTATTCAGAGAAATGGCTTAAGTCTCAACCACCATGCTGTGGACCCCACTCCCACCCTTACCAACCCTGACTCTATAATAAGGCTGACAGAGAAGAAGGAAAGTTACCTCTGAAACTGACAGTTCTTGGGAAGTTTATCTCTACTACCACAACTTTTCTCCTTTGTGGGGAAGATGGGATACCATTTTTCTCTGTGTATAAGTCTGCTAGGGCTGCTGAAACAAAAGCACCACAAACTGGGTAAAGATATATCAGTCACAGTTCTGGAGGCTGGCAGTCCAAGATCAAAGTGTGGCATGGTTGGTTCCCTCTGGGGACTCTGAGGGAAGGACTGGTTCCAAATCTCTCTCCTTGGTTTGTAAATGGCTGTCTTCTTCCTGTGTGTCTACCTCATCTTTTCTTTTTGTGTGTCTGTATGTCTAAATTTCCCCTTTTTATAAGGCTATCAGGCATATTGAATTAGGGTTAACCTAACTCTAATGACTTCATTTTAACTTAATTTACTTTGCAAAGGCTCTATCTACAAATAGGGTTACATTCTGAAGTACTGAGGATTAGGACTCCAACATATCCCCTTCTGCGGGGAGGGGGGGCGGGGGGGGGCACAATTCAGCCCATAACACTCCATAAAGCCAAGCAATGGGCAAAAAGGGGAGATTGGCATTTTTTTCCTTGATTAAGTACCACTTTGTCAGTGGACTTCCCAGTCTCCCCTGTGCTGCCTGAGCAGGAAGAGAAATGTGGAGGAGATCCTCACACCCCACTCCACTTCTACCTGCCTGTGCCCCAGCAGCTCCAGGTTTTGGAGAGGAATGTTAGTTGTCAGATGTATTCTGTGCATTCCCTCAAGCCCTAGAGTTGATAAATACATAGATAAGAATAGACACAATCTTGCCAGGACTGCCACAATGTGGGAGAAAGAAGCATACACAATTGAGGAAAGGTCTTTTGCTACAAAGTGGGGGTAAATTGAGATACAACTAAATCTCAGGGACTCCCAATGCCTGAGGGACATTTTGGTGGAGTTCTTCATCCACAGGCTCTGCCAGGAGCACTTGTGACCCAGAGACCACCAGAATAGGAATCTCCTATCAAGAATAGCATTGCAACCTTGCCTAGGCTGTAAGATAAGGCCACTTCCACCCCTCCATCCCTCCATGGGCAGAAGGGCAGGCTGAAGCAGGGGAAGCTGAGAGCTAACTGCATCCCATCCTCTACTCTCAACTCCAGGGTCTACCTAGCCAAATCTTAATTTGGCTCTGACATGGATGTTTTTATAAATAGAGCTGAGTCATTTAAATCAAAGTCCCTCTGAATATACAAAAGTGAGAAGTTATGGGCTGAGAAAGTGTTAAGGGAACTGCTACCCAGCAGGAAACAGACGTTTGATAGATCAAAACTGAAGAAAGTGACTGGAAAAAATAAAACCATGTCAGTCTTGCTTCTCGGTGAGTTGAGACAACAGTAGATAAGTGCACATGTACACATAGCACTAAGGTATATCCCACCTTACTTCCTACTGTTTCAATTAGCATGATATCATGGACAGATTCCCATGTCATTAGGTATTCTTCAGAAATTCAATTTTTAATGACTCTAGTTTCTATCATTCATCTTATAAATGTACTTTAAGGTATTCAACCTTTCTCCTATTGGACATTTAGGATACACTTAATATTTTGGAATTATAAATCATTTCATGATCATCTCTGTACATACATCTATGTCTAAGAGAAAAAGAAACTGTTATACCCACTATTTTTTTCAAACAGGAGAATTCATGTTAACCACTTTCAGAGATTAAGTGACTTGCTTTCATCATATGCTAAACCCATCTTTTGACAATGGATAATTGACTATACTATCAGTGTATGAAAGTTGTCCGTTATACCTAATGTAAAACTTGAAAAGCTGACTCATTTTGTACCCATTTTTCCTATATATTAATATTGCCTTATACTAGATGATGAGCTATATTTTACTTGTAGAATATATCCATAATATTCTGTGTATGTCTTAGCTAAATTTATGTCATCTAATTTCATTAGCATGGAGAAACTCATGAGTTGGAGCTTTACATGTCTATTTTCAAAACCCATCAAAGTGAGATAGTTCACCATGATAGCAACAATTTGTGACCACAAATATATTATAGCACACAGGTCTGAATTTAACCTGAGTGTTACTGCATGGCAGAAAATAGCAGCAAAGTAGTGACAAAGAATAATGGCTTCACTATTAACTAATTAAATATGGTTGGAATTCTAGATCTGCCATTTCCATGCAATATAACCCAGACAAATTATTTTCTCTCTCTGTGCTCCATTCCTAGTCTGTAAATTAGGGATAATCATAGTTCCTACCTCAGGGTTGATGAAGGATTAAAGGAGAAAATTCCCAGAAAGGACCAGAAAATGGCCCATAAAATATGATCAGTTAATGTTAGCCACTAATCTCACTAATTAGAAGTCACAAGTTAACCTCCATCTAGACATACATATTTAGGCTCTGACAGATACAATTCACACCTTTACTCAAGACTATTTGCTCTCTGATTCAGATATAAAACAATAAATCAGTTTTTAACCTGACACCAATTCTATCTTACTATGTATATACAGATACATTAATGCATCTGTGAATATTTACATTATCATCATAATAAATAAAGACAAAATGGAGAAGTAATTTTTCACTCTTATAATAAATGTGTATCTTATAACCTCGAAGTTCCTTTAAGTTCTTCCACAGCATGCTAAGTAACTATCGACTGGGGAGAACAGTTTAATGAAATTAAATCACACATTGAGTTAAAAGCAGTTAGTTTTAGCTTGAAATACAAGAATTATTTCTTTACAGCACACACACAATTTTCACTAGAGCTTAATATGGGTCATGGCATAACTTCACAAAATCAAAAACCATGTACCAGCCCCAAGTAAAATTTCAACAAATGGCTTCTCTGCAGCCTCGCGCTCCACAGTGAAGCCTCGTTCCCAGGGTCGGCTAGAGTGGAATTTGGAGCTCTTCCACCACATTCAGAAGGAGGCTTCTCTTGACCTCTGACGTAAACCTGAGTAGGCCACCCCCTATTTGTAGAAATTTTCACCCCGATCACAGTAAATTTCACATCTTCTTTAGTTGTGTCCTAGTGGAGATACCCAATGACCAGCAATGGGGAGGAGGAAGGGCTGCCCAAGGATAAGATAAAGAATTGGAAAGACTATTTCTCAGATTCAGGGCAGATGCAGGCTATGTGACAATTTCTAAGCTTCTGCTTCTACCCACCCACAGGACAGGGTGAGAGGCAAGAGAGGAGGCAAGAAGGATCTTGCACCGGGGCCAGAGCTCAGAGGTAAGCCTTGCTGGTTTTGGCAATGCCCGCTCCTATTGTTAGAACACCACTGGCACACGCTGCCAACTCCCTAAAAGAATATAACATGTCTACTGCTCAGGATTAATGCTCCCTTCCTGCATCACGGGATGTTATAAATAAAGCTGTTGCTTTTTATATACTATCAAGTAGTACACTACCCTATAGCAAGCAGATGAAGAAAACCCAAGAGAGCCTAATTTTGCAGAGAGGGAGAACAAAAAACTGACATCACTGATCTATTTTAAATACACTTCAAAATATATTAGGAAATGTTCACACCCTATGGGGAGAGAGGACCAAGTCTACGATGCAATACACGACATTGTGTGTGTGTGTGTATAATGTTTGATTCTAATATACTATATATGAATTTCTTATACAGGCACACACACATACCCAGAATTAACCAACAGCTCTTGGAATTAACTGTAGGGAAAAGAATACATATTAGTGTGCTGGTAGCTCTACGGTGAAAGATACCTTGTTCTAAAGCCTTCCTTTTCTAGAACAGCGGCATTTCTCCCAGCAGCTCATGGGAGCCCTGGGCGCTCGCACCTACCTGCGCTGGTGTTGGTGCTGGGGCTGGCCAGCAGCTGCCCCGAGCCCTGAGCTGGCGGTGGGGGCTGCCCATCACTCAGCTGCTTGACTCGTTTGCGATGGGATTTGCCATTGTAATGGACTTGGGCCTGGGCTGCGGAGTTTAGCTGGATGTTGCACACCTCACAGAAGGAGAAAAGAATTTTCTTTTTCTCTTTACTCAACTGGTCCTCAGGCCTGTCATTCTTTATCCCCTTTTCTTCAAAGCCCCGTAGAAAAGTTGCCATATTCATAATACCATCTTCAGGGTAATTGTTAGGGCTTAATGAGTACTTCATACCTGAAAAAAAAAAAGTACAGGTGCTTGTGAAATATATGCTTTCTGATTTTCTAGTATGATTACAAACTATTTTCATGATTTAGGATAAGCTAAAAGCCTTCTAGCTACTCAGTGGACGTTCTTTGAAAAACTTATCAAAACTACCTGAGCAAATATGGTCTTTGAACATGTTTCCTCTGTCTGAAGTTCTTCCTCCTTATCCCTGCCCCACCCTCCCTCCACCTCCCGATTCTTTTGCCCTTTCTATCTCCCGCCCACCCTTTAGATCTTACCTGGAGTACTACCCTCTCCAGGCAACCCGTCTGACCTGGAGCCAAGGCGGACCCCTGGTTACATGCTCCCATAGTGCTATATGACCCCCCTTCAGAGCATCCATCACCGTATGCATGTCATATGGATTTGCGCAATTTGGCTAATGTGTTTCTCTGATAGAGTATGAGCTCTAAGAGGGCAGTAACCTCATTTCTGGATGTCCCTTAGGCCTAGAATTGTACTGTTTACATAATAGGCATTTAAATACCTATTGAAGGAAAGAATAAATGTTATGAACCCAGAATTGTGAAAAAGGGTATACACACAAAGGTTTATATAATACATGCACACCTGCCAATAGACCTATGCCCTAAACCAGGGAGGAGGTGAATTAACAAAGATTAAAACACAGTATGTCTGCAACTTACATTAAGTTGTGTTCCAGAAGCCCCTTTATAAGTCAGCCAATGGGAATTTGAACATATTTTCTTATACTTGTAGTGAAACAAACTGTATTTAGGTTTCCAGATTAGCCCATAAATATCAATTTAATTTTTGATGAGGTTGAAATGCAGAACATCTGAAATAAAAAATAAAAGAAATACAGTAAATGGTAAACTAGGAATTAAAAAGTGGAAAAAGAGTAGAGCAGACTAAGATATAATTTTTGTTTATTTTTAAGTGCTGATTTTTCCTTCACTTAGTTAGATAAGGGCATAGTGATTGATTATAACTTCAGGGAAGATTTTAAAGGAGATTTTGAGTGAAGGAGAGGGCCTTGGCTTTTTATTTTATCAGTTCCACTTTAACATATGTAACTTTTAGACTTTATTTAATACCACTATTACCAGCACTTTTTTAAATAATTTTTTATTGTTATGTTAATCACCATACATCATTAGTTTTTGATGTAGTCTTCCATGATTCATT